AGGTCGAATTCCTAGGTTACTTGTGATCTGTAGAACTTGAATACGTTATCTGGTGGCTAAATTCAAAATTAAAGTAGATAGGTCGAATTGCTAAGCCACGCCCCTGCCAGAGATCCCAATATATAGTTTTTTAGTTTTACTATAAACAATCTTAAATATAATTATAATATAAATTCGTTATATATTATTATTATTATTTAATTTGTTTGATTAATAATTGAACGAATAATATATTTATTATATTTTTATCAATTAAAAAAAAAAAAGAATTTCTCAATAATTTTTTAAAATAATTTTTAGTTTTAATAACAACGATCTTAAATATAATTATATAATTATAAATTATATAATAAACTATAAACCTAAATAATTATATAATTATATAATAAACTCGTTCATTTAATTATTTTATTTTTTTTTTTTTAGTTATCGATTAAATAATTTGTTGCTTTTCTACGAACACTCCTTGTCAACTTTCTTCTTGTTTCTTACTTAGTGTTGATTAATAATTAAAAATTGATGAAGCGTTTTATTTACGTATATATCACCTAAATTTAACTTTCGTCAAACGATTATCGATAACACAGAGACACACACACATACACATACACATACATATACACACATACAATATATAGTCTATCTTAGAATTCTTATAATTATCATCAACCCTAATCCCATCCAAGAAATTCATCCTCACGTTTTGGCGTCTTCTCATAAATTAAAATATTTGTCAACAAATTTAATTAAATAATTCAAAAATCTTTGAATCTTGTTATCTTTTTATCTTATGGAATATTCCGATAATCAAATATTTTAATATATTTAAATAAATATTTGCAATCATAAAAAGATAACTCGTACATTTCAATAAAATGCTCATATATTATTTTCAATTCGAAATCATTGAAATATAAAAAATATAGTAACTTCAACCAAAGTTCCTTTTATCCCCCTAACAAAATGAGATATTTGTATTCTTCAAATTTACCCAAATGCTTTTCTTCCCTTCATCTATTATCCTCCCTTCGTGAACACGTTATTTGGATTTCTCATGTAAACCGTGAAAGCATACAACCATAATGTGATTTCAAGTTGACTAACATTGGAATACTTAAACATTTCAACTAACTATAATAATATAATCTTTGATCGTTCAACATACATACCTAAAAAATTGATCCAAGTATATAAAATTAAAAAAAAAAAAAAAAAACCAAAAATTTAATTAAATTTTAATTTATTATATTAACGAAATAAAAAATTGGAATTCATCTCATCTAAGTATAATAAAATAAAATATAATAAAAAAAATACAAAATTTAATGAAATCTTTTATATTAAAATTTTTTAAATTTTTTTTTTAATTTATTCAAAGTCAAGGAATAAAAAATTTAAATTCAACGGTGTGTCCATTTTTAATAATAATTATTCTAATAATTAATTAATTTAATATAAATTTGAATTCATCTAAGTATAATAAAATAAAATTTAAAAAAAAAAAATAAAAATTTTATTAAATCTTTTATATTAAAATTTTTTAAATTTTTTATATAATTTATTTATATATTAAAGGAATAAAAAATTTCAATTCAATGCTATTTATTTTTAATAATAATTATTTTCTATACGTTTATTCATTCGTACGATTGATTGATTGATTGATTGATTAGGCACAAACAAAACAAATGAAAAAAGAAAAGAAATATAAAAGCACAGAAATAAAATGAAAAAAAAAAAATAAAACTAAATTATTTATTTATCGCGACACCGTATATATAATATTCTATTTTTTTGTTTGTCAAGAGAAAATTAAAATCGATTTACACATTCACACATACACACCCACCCATATACAAACGCCCAGGCACACAACAGATGCTTTTCAAATGAATTTTTGTCCTCTTTTCTATCGTATCGTAAAGTCAGTTGTAACCCTTTCTTTACATTTTTGTTTATTTTTTTTTTTTTTTATTATTCTTCTACTTCTTCTTTTCCCTCTCGAGAACGAATAAAGAAACAAAGATGGGGTAAAAAAAACACACATACATATACACACCCACACAAATCCAACGCGTTTGGTAAAGTAAACTCTGTTAATTTAGTTAGAAATACAAATACATAAAACGTTACCGTTTTCAAAATATTTTTTTTTAATTATAAACCGTATCTAACACACACACACACACACACACACACACACACGTGTTATTGAATAATTAAAACAAAATATATATATAACATTATTATCTACGATGAAAAGTTTCGTAGAATAATTCGATTAAATTGTATGACGTTAAAGGCTTACCTTATTATCAACCCTCGAAATAAAATAAACGTTTAATATATAAATATTTCAATTTTATATTATCCAATAATAATAATAATAATAATTCCATTTTTTATTAATATTATAAACAAAAAGAAGAATGTTTATTAATAGGATTTATTTTATTAACTGAAACGAAAAATTATTATAAAATAAAAACAGGGACAACACACAATAAGAAGATAACAATTCTAAATTAAATATTCGATTAAAAACGAAACTATATTATAATTATAATTATTTATTTTATTAACTGAAAAAAAAAGTAATTATTATTAAAAAAAAAAAAAAAAAATTTAGAATAAAATTAATTCTCATCAAATATTATATTAAAAATCAAAAAAGTATAATTATAATTATTTATTTTGTTAACTGGAAAAAAAATTATTATTAAAAAAAAAAAAGAAAACAGCAATAAAACAAAAAAGAAATAAAAATTCNACAGGGACAACACACAATAAGAAGATAACAATTCTAAATTAAATATTCGATTAAAAACGAAACTATATTATAATTATAATTATTTATTTTATTAAAAAAAAAAAAAAAAAGGCAGCAATAACAATAAAGAAATAAAAATTCGAATAAAATTAATTCTAATCAAATATTAGATTAAAAATCAAACTATTATAATTATAATTATTTATTTTGTTAACTGGAAAAAAAATTATTATTAAAAAAAAAAAAGAAAACAGCAATAAAACAAAAAAGAAATAAAAATTCTAATCAAATTAATTAAAATCTAAAACTTAATTCTCTAATCAAATATTAGATTAAAAACCAAACTATATTATAATTATTATAATAATAATAATTATTATTATTATTTTCCTTAGCAAAAATTTCAATTAAATACGATTTAACATAAGATCGATCAAGGGTTGATATTATTTTTCCGTATAATTTGTCTGTAATAATAATTTCCACAAACAAATTGATATTGATTAATAATAAAATCAATGAGAAAAAATAAACAAATTTAAAAATATGTTAGATAAGTTGTACGACGACGAATAAACATTGCACGAAGTCTAACGAACGACTGACTACTGGTCCACATTTGTAAAACGAGGTCCACCCTTAGAAGATGAAGACCTGGGTGGATGTTGCGTCTGCGTCAGTGGGTTCGTTCAATCGCGAGAGAGATCAAATATATACAATCCCCACCCTCAACCCCCACCTCACTCCACACCACTCCCACGTTCTTCTATCACAGATGTGCTTTCTCTCTCTCTCTCTCTCTTTCAACCTCACCCTTTCCTTCACCCTCACACCCACAGCCTCTCCTTCACCCACAGCCTATCCTTCACCCACAGCCTATCCTTCACCCATAGCCTCTCCTTCACCCTCAGCCTCTCATTCACCCTGTCTCTTTCTATCTTTCTCACTTTGTCTCTTTCTATCTGAATTTTACATTTCTTTTCCTCCAATCTTACAATCGGTCTCATCGTTTCCTTATTTTCTTCTCTCTTTTGCACAATTCAACCCCGACGCCCCCCCCCCAACCCGACCACAATCTCACCACACCCCTCTTGAGTTTATATAAACAATAAAGTATTCTCTAAAGAAGGATATAAAATAAAATAAGTCACGTTGTTTATTTTTTTTTTGTCTTCCATCATCGTAAATTTGCTTTCTTTTACAGAAGGAGAAAAACAATCTCGTGTTGAATTTTTTAAATTTATATATATATATATATAAAAGAAAAGGTGGATGATAATAATTAGTATCAACGGTAAAGTCCAATTAGTAAACGAATACAAATTATTTAATATAATTTGCACAAGAGAGAGAAAGAGAAAAAGTGATATTAACAAAATGATGAATTTAATTAAAGTTTTACATACAATTAAAAAAATAGAACAAAAAAAAAAGAAATAAAAAGAATTTTTCAAATATATACACACAAATATTAATAAATAATATACCTAATATACATATTTATATATTCAAATATATAATAAATAAAATAAATACAGTAATATGACAATATATTACTGTACTTTCATCAAGAGAATTAAAAAACATTGATTTATTATCTGATAAATATTTGTACTGTTACCATTAAACTATTATTACTAAAAAAACAAAAACAAAAACAAAAAAAAAAGAGATGACATTTTTACGAGAAATTTTACGTTCTAAATTTAACCATAAGATGAAGTTAAAAATAGGCGTGGGTGGATATCGTTTTCTTACAAACGACGACAACGACGAAAGATATTCGATCCTTAGAAAGTACTACTACAAACACGTTTGGGGATGAAATGTGAGAACATGAAACTTAAAGGAAGTCCAATAGTCAAAAAAATATTGGGGAATCCAATTTTACTACTATATATATATATAAACATACATACACATATTATTTTCTTTTCTGTCTGTTGACTTGATATTTTTATCAAACTTTTGAATATTTTCTTGTTTAAAAAAAAAAATACAAAAGTAAAAATACGAAATATGAACTTTGTTTTTCAAAGCTTATAAATACTACTTTCTATATATATATATATATGAGTATATGTATGTATGTGTGTATATTTTTTCTGTAAAAGGAAAGAGTAGTAGTAAAAGTTAACAAAAAACATATAACATGATATTATTCTCTTTGATATCTGTAGTATAGCCTGTTTTCTCGTGAAAATACATTTTACATTTTAACCTTTCTCGTAAAAAGAGAAATAATGATGAAACGATGAAACTGTGGGAAAGACTACTACTCTCCTCACAAACCAACTTGCTGCAACATATACCAAGAGAATTACCTTATAAGGCTCGATCCTCCAACTCGTATAAAAATACAAAAAAATAAAAAGGATTCTCTCTAGAATATTTACAGATAATAATAAAATGATATCTGTGATTTATCCATAACTGTACTTCTATTAAAAAAATAATAAAATAAAAACATAGTGACGAAATATTAACACTAGATATACCAGACCAGTCATTTTGACTGATCGGGCAATTTTAGTTCAAAATTTCTACTTCATATAGTAACATTTGATTTCTGTAAATAATTAAACATTTTGTTATTTAAAAATATCTATAAATTCATTTATCTATTAAAATTATTATTGTTAAACACATTGTTTTGTTATTTTTTGAAGAGTAAATAAAGACTGAAAAAGTCAAAAAGCATTTCTTTTTATACACCAATCATTTTGACTAGTGTGGTTGAAATAGGTATACTGAAAATGGTACTATATCTAGTGTTTAATTAAATCGTTCCCAAAAGTTACTTTATTTTTTTTTTATTCAATAATTTTACACGCATAATATTTGTTTATATTGAATAATATACAGTTAAAATAAAAAGGTAATGTAGAATAAAATCGATATTATTTAAATTTATTGAAATAACATGAAAAATATTACGAATACATTATATTGTGCTCTTACTAGGGATTTGTCACCAACAAAAAAATTAAAGAGAAGAAATTTTGCGAAACGATTTAATTTCTATTTTATTTTCACTAATAAAAAAACAACAACAACAACGAAAGAAATGAGATATACTTTTTACAACAGGTGTATAAATTACATTTTTTTTTTTTTTTTTTTAAATAAAAATACGTTAATTCGTTTAAAATTCAGCCGTAATTGTTACGCAAATTACGAGATCGTGACAAATCAACGTTAAGGCTACAACAACGGCGTTAATTAAAACTGCATCATTAAACGCACACCGTTGTACGAGACAATTATTATTGTATTAATTATAAACGCGAGAACTTTTTTTTTTTTTTTTAATAAAAAAGAAAATAAATATAAATTGGAATTAAATAAAAAAAAAAAATAAAAAAAACATTTTAGATCGTTACGGCTTACCAATTGTTACGGTAGTTCTAATGAGATTTCACCACCCACGAAGATGATGATGGTTCGATGTAATTATGTTGGTAGGTAGAGATAGGTGTAGGTAGGTAGGTAACTAGGTAGCAAGCAAGGAAATAAGGAAGCACACAAATGCCAATGATGATAGATCCTTGAATTTTCCAACAGCCTTTTTGACAAGATCCTTTTCAAATGTTGTGATATTATTTCCCACTAGGATGAAAAACGTTATCTCGTTCGATGATTAAAAAGAAAACATTCCTCTCTTCTTTCAATTGACAATAAGGGTGATGGATGCTACGCCTTCTTTCTTTCCGTGTATCCTCTTCTTTTTTTTTCCTCTTTTTTACACTACCCTCCCTTACTCACAAACACATTCACTCTATATATATGTATATATACTTCTTTTTACGTTCCTACGACGTCGCGATATTAAATCGAATCGTTTTAATGAAAGCAAAAAAAAAACTTTTAATAACAAAATCTCAATATAAATATAAAGTGACAATTATTATTTGTTAAATACCGTAAGAACCCTCCCTTAAGGGGGGCGTAGCTCACTAACCGCGAACCGCGAAAAATCTGACAAGCAAGTTACGAGATGAACGGCCGGCGTACTACTGAACCTCCTCATTCTGAGTTTCGACCGGTTAGTCGCAGTGCTGCCACCTAGCGGTCGAGACCCGAAGTTATGTAAGCTTTGATAGTAGAACATGGACCACCACGTGGCACACAGCCACCCGTACGTGTATAACTAGTATATTAGTATGCGTGTGTGTGCGCGCGCATGAAACAAGGGTAAGAGAGAGAGGGGGGGGAAGGGTGAGGAGGGGAAAAAAACTCGGAAATGCAATTTCTCTACATCGTCTGACGGATTCTCCCGGAAATCCGAAAACGTTTCCAACTTTCGATCCTCTCGATTGTCTCTTCTTTTTTGATAACGTTTTACTATTTATTGCTTTTGTATTTTTTTTTTTTTTTTTGATGGGTAAAATATGTTTTTATTTGTATTATTTTTTTTTTTTTAATAATTTTATAGAATTGTTAATTATGTATATTAGTATGTAACATTATGAGATGATCAATAGGTCATGGTAAATTATATATATTTATTTATAAATTGATCATTTGTTGTTTGACAAAATATTGAACAAATAAATAAAAGTATTTTACATGTAATATGTGTGTGTGTGTGTATGTGTGTGTGTATGTGTGTGTGTGAATTTGTAATGTATTATTTAAATAAAATTCTGAATACTTTATCAAAGTAACTGATTGCTGATACTGCATTGAATTATATAATCTCGGTAAGCCTCTTTTTTTTCCTATTCTAAAAGATGTTGCAATAAATTTGAAACTTCGAAAAGAGTTATTGTTAACTTTACGTTGTACTTTAAATCGTATTGCAAATCGTAAAATTGAAATCTACTTTATAAATATAGATAGCAAATAAAATAACGATGTCTTCATTGAAATATTAAACGAGTATGAGAAAAACCGCAAAAGAAATCAACCTTAACCGCATTTCACGTTTTATTCGAGGTCAAGTTTTTATTATTTCGATTTGTGTACAGATTTAAAAAAATATATATATATTTTATATACGAGTTAATCTTTTTAATTAAATAATAATAATAATAATAATAATAATAAAAGAAGAAGACTAATATATAATCTGAATAATTGTCAATACGTGTATTGCAAAATTTAAAAATAGAAAAAGAAGAAAAAAAAAGACAAACTTAATTTTCTAAGCGCAATAAAAAGTTATCCTTACGTGTACAAAATAGAATCCAATTAAGGACATGTCGCTTAAAGTCATTTGAATTAATTTGACTTGGAAATTCTTTTTTTTTTTCCTTTTCCCATAAGGAAGAGGAATGTGGATGATGTATTTTTAACCGATGCAAAATAAGTTGCTACTTTACTCACGTAAAGGAGAGACACTATTTTAATGGTATACATAAAATAACAACAACAAAAAAAAAAAAAAAAGAAATAGGTATATAAATTCTAAAAGAGTACTATATATATATATATATATTTGATTGTGAAAGAAATAAAAAATGAGAATAAATATACCATGTTATTATACCTCAGAGAAAAGAAAAATACACGTAGAAAGAAAGAGAGTTGGAAAAACAAAATGAAGAGATCTACGACTGATAAAATATTCTTTCCCATAGAAAAATACACATTGCAAATAAAATATAATGATAAAATGTTTGCACTAAAGGTGATTGAAAAAAAAAAAAAAAACAAAAAAACTTTATCAAAATTATTGAACTCTCTTGGATTGGTAATATTATCTTGAAATTTACAATATTATTCGAATAAATTTTCTAGAACGATAATACTGCCAATGAGAAGAATAACTACGTTTTAACGAAACAATATAATATACGAGACGAGATTACGATTGTGAGTTAAATCGATAACGATATCCGCATGATAGGAGTATGGATTTAGATATAAATTGATAATATATAATATTATATATATATATATATATAAAATAAATTATTAAATTATTTATAATATAATAATTTAAATATTTAAATAATTATATAATTTATATAATTATTATTTTATTAATTTAAGTAATTAATTTAATAATTAATTTATTTGATTTTTATTTGATTTTTATTTTATTTTATTAATTTAATTATATATTATATTTATAATATAATTAATATGTAAAAATAGATAGAAAATATTCTTTATATATAATTGATTTGAATTATATGCATTATGAAATAAATGAAGATTCATTCTTGTATATTTGCTAGACAGATTTGTCTCTGAATATGATACAATAATACTGTATTCATTACACACATTCATCATTGTTAATAATAACGTCACGTACATTCAATAATACGATACATTAATCGCATAAGAATTTAAAATGAGTAAACAACAACACAACATATAAATAAATTATAATATGATATATATATAATATGAATTTTTGCAAATTTATTAGTATACGTATTAACCCTTTGAGTGGTGAATACTTTTAACTAATATTGTTTGTAGAAATAGAATAATTTATTATTAATCAGATTCTATTTAATAATTAAAGTTTCAGGTTCTGAATATAATTTAAATAATAAATATACACTACATTATTTTATATTAATATTAAAAAAAAAACGTAGGATGCATATCGTAATTTTTACCAAACTCAAATATGCGTCCATAACACTCTAAGGGTTAAAATAATAGACAGATACTTGTTGATAAATGAACAAAATGTTATCAATGATAAAAGAATCTTTAACAAGATTAGTATTACGATCATTTGTCTCACGGTAACTATTATTCCACAGGACAGGTATAAATTAAGTAACGATTCGAAATAGTCGTTTGTTACCAGATCACCGTTTATCCGAATCAACGTGACACACATCCGGGAATCCCGCTACTTTTTAACTCGCATCAGCTATTTTACAGTTAGAGAATTACTTTTCGTAAAGAAATATAAATAAAAAAGTAGAAAAAGAAAAAAAAAAAAAAAGCAGATAACAAATGATTGTAACGAAAACATGTAAATTCAACAAGTAGAGAAAAGATTCCACCAACCAGACACGTGAAAGATTTTTCTTTATTTTTTTTTCTCCAAATCATACTAATTGCAATTAATAATTCTGATTAAATAGCTCGTTTGTTCCGCCAAAACTCTATTTGTCTTTTTCTATTCATTTATAATTGTACAACACATACACTTTACATACATTTATACAATGATACGTGTATATATTAAATGATAATACGATTATGCGATCAATTTCAATAAAATTGTAATAATAATTAAAAAAAAAAAAAAAAGAAAAGGATCCGGAAATCCGGCACTCACGATTCTGCCACATATTTAATATGCTCTTGTACGTTTCCGGTACCATCCGAGATTCATTATTATTATTATTATTCTTCTGCTTGGGTTCTTTGATATGCGGCATTTTACAAATTTCTTTCTTGTCCGTTTGATAAACGAAAAACTAATCACAGCAAAATCAGAGATCAAATTATGGTATCACAGAAAAATGTTTTTAAAAATACAAAAACATATATATATATATATATATATATATATATATATATATAATGTATAGGAAAAAAACTTGACGACGATAAATGATAAAATAATTCGAAAGAAAAGGAGAATTTAAGAAGGAACGATAAAACGATATCACGAGGATAACGATGCGTGACTAATGAAGGATGTTAAGCGACTGACTTCGTCAGTTTTCACGATTGAATTCTAATCTCACCTTCTGAATCTCAGGGCCGTAACGCTTTAAGACAAACAACAGTGTCTTACGATAAAAAAAATTACCCCCGTTCCCCTTCTCTCTCTCTCTCTCTCTCTCTCTCTCTCTCTCTCCCACATTCGTACAACTCAACGATTAGATTTAGATAAATTTGTTATCTTTTTGTTGTTTTACTTTTCTCTTTCTTTTGATTAAAATTATTCATTCGTATAATGATATGAATTTACAGATATAATATTTTGAAAATAGAAATTTTATCGTAATATTTGAAGAAAGAAAAAAGAGAAATGTGTGACGATTTAAAAATTTATTTCGTAGGTGTATGCAAAAACTTGATACGTAACAAAAGTTACTTTCGATGATACGTTGTGGTATTCGAAGTTTCCTTTTTTTTTTTTTTCTATCAATGTTTCGATTTTATTTTTATTTTTTTTTTTTAGTAAATTAAATTACTCGCCATAAAATCTATATGTGAGTTGATATTTTAACTTTGTTCTTCCATGTCAAACTTAAATTTATTTTTCAACGTAATTTCCAAACTTGTAGAGAAAAGAATAAGCTGAGAATTTTTTGCAACTCACCGTTCGTATTATATAAAATTAAAAATAATAATATCATTTAAAAAAAAAAAAAAAAGAAAAGAAAGATAAACTATCTGTTTCTACATTTTATTTTTTTTTATTTTTTTTTTTTTTTTGTAATGAAATATATCAAGTTTTTGAATAAACCTACTGGTTTGCAATTGAAATTATTATTCAAATAAAAGTATCATACTCGTAGGTAGTATAAAAGCAATAGATACTAAATAGAATGATGTTGTTTTTGCGAGACACCGAGTAGACAGCAATGAACTCTAACGGCATTCGCGAGCTTCATTAAAAATTCTCATAAAACTAGTGGAAGAGAAATTTACGATGGGATACAATATTCTTGAATAGATTCCAAGCATTAATGTGCGAAATGTGTAATTGGATGAATTAATGTAGTTACAAATAATTTACTTGATGAATGAATATAAACCATGTAAAATAACATTTCCGAAAGAACTTTTAAAAACGTAATTCGTTATATTCACATTGATGAAAAGATGTATGAATATAAAATACTCATATTTTTAATAAAAGTAAATTTTAATAGAAATAAAAAAATATTTCTACATTAAATTCAAAAAACTTTTTAACTTGTGTGTAAATAGATATTTTTATAGATTAATATTATTTTCTAATTAATATACTACGAAGAAATCGAAAATAACTATGAAGCTTCAAAATGTATTAAAAATCAAAAAATTCAACTAATTAATTCAACGCACACACACAAAGCCATTAAAAAAAAAAAAAGCTAATAAAAACATGGCAAATAAAAAAAAATAAAAAGTATAGCATACATTTCGCTAGATATAACAATTTCCTATTACAATTCTCGATTGCAATAATAATAATAATAATAATAATAATAAGGAGAGATATGATCTCGTACGTTTAATTTGAACGGAGTACATTTTCGCGCGTATATGATGCACACATGCGCACGCACGAGCGCATCTCACTCAACGTAGATAAATATGCATCCGGTAGGACTTGTAATTAACGAAATTATTCGATCGAATCCTAAATATTTAAATAAATACATATTTCTTTTTTTAAATTTTGTAGAAATTAATAATCAAGTAATTTTGAGCGGTGTGATAAAAACACTTGTCAAGTCAGATTGACATTATTTTGATATCCCTACCCCCTTGTATTCGTTATCAATAAAATAAAATTAAAAAAGAAAAACAAAGTAACACAAAATAAAAACTCCCTAAATTATAATTTCATCCAAAATGGACGCATATAATTAAACAACTAATTAAAACAAAAAATCGATTGTCTTTTAATAAAAATAAATGTAACCGACTTAACCGACAGTTGTCATTTTGGTCGCGTCGTGAAGTCTGTCACAAACATGGCGATATGTTTTAAAGGAAGGACCTACCTAAAAGAGAGTTTACACTGTGCGTCGATGAACCGTACTATCTACTAAATTAATAATAAACTAAACGAATGGTTTGTCGTTTACAACAAACGAACGAATGGATAAGAAGACAATTTGAAAACTCTCTTGTACCGAAATACACATACATACATACATACGTAGATAAATACATACACGCATAGATGCATGTATATACTTAGGGATGATTCAAAGTAGATAAATCAGAAATGAGACATGAGAAAGCGTCGATGAAAGATGAGTCCTCGTTTGTTTGAGAAAGTAACATACCAATCGAATCACCGTAAGTAAGCGTGTGTCAATAAATCAGGAAATAAAATATATCCAATACCAGCTGTGTCGAAGTGACAGGTGCGATCGGTGGTGACTCACGCGCTTCTAATCGAATATATATATATATATATATATATATATATATATATATGTATATCCTCTATGAGTGTGTGTATGTATTCGAAAAGAAGGAAGGGGTAGAAAGATTAAGAGTGGGGAGGGGAAGACGGCAAGATTAGCCGGGGGTGAGAGGGACGCAACGAATAAACACACGAGCGTTCTCTAACCCCCTTTTCTTCCGGATTTCAATGAAGCCCACGTAAGGATGTTGCTCGTACCCTTTCGCGCGTATTTTTGGCACAACGAATAAGAAGATACACCAGAGAATAAGGAAACAAGGGACAAGGGTGGGAGAAAAGATTCATGTAAATAGACAGCAGACAGACACATACATACATACATACATACATATACATATATATCATAGTTATATATGATGCATACATACATGCACAACAACAAAAAACAGAGATAAATAACAAGTAACTACAGTTGTATATTGCGATTACTTTCGTATATTTGAATATTTGTATATATATATATATATTATGTTATGTTATAATTAAAAAAAAATACGTACTTCTCATTCCTTTTCTTTGTTTATTGTCTATCTGTTTCTCTTTCTCACTCGTCAAGCATATAGATTCGTTTAGAAACAGGCACCATTTATACGATCGAACTAACGACAAAAGATATTTTGACAATGACGCAAACGCGGCGTTTACCGGTATAAGTAAAAAAAAGCCTACAGATGGACGACACTCTAGATAGACTCGGGGCGTTTACCGGATACCGGAAGTACTAGTTCTCTCATTGCACTGCGCCGAGCCGGCATTTGGAAATGTCAGTCGTACGCACATGCGCCTTTATCGTAACGCGTCCTGAATATAAAGGAGACCAAAGATTTTTTAATTCAATCTGACTTTGTCTCTACCACCAATCACGATGCTTCAAATATAGAATGCACTTTCTCCGATAAAAGATTGCTTTCTTCGATTATTAATTTTTGTTTGTTTGTTTGTTCGTTTAACCTTTTATCTATTTTATGAAAGTTGACCGTTCGATCGAACATATTTAACCTTAAAATATTGAACGATTTCTAATTCTATATAAAAGGATTGTTCGAAAGTTCCATTTAACGTTTATTCAAAATATCTTCTTTTTTTTTTTTTATGTGGGATTTAATAATTTAAATAACCGCCTTCTATTTAAAAATGTCTTACTTTTTTATCAATAGCCATTGAAGGATTAGGTAATGTACGTGAATTGGGATTGGTCGACGATAACAGAACTTCTATGATTGGTTGGCTAAATCGAAGGCCGCTTTTATGATAGTATATAAGAATTTTATATAGATTACTATTTTCTAGTATAATGCTAACAGTTCATCGTTATCGTTCTAAGTGAATTGCGTATACAATAAAAAAATAATTTAAAAATAATACTTTATATAAAAGTCTCATTTATGATTTTTCTTTATTGTGAACTTGACCGCCACCTATCTTTACAATTATTATTAAAGAATTTAGTGACTAATGTGGACGATTTTATACGGTACGATTTAAATTAAAAATTTATTTAAAATAATTGATAATATAAATATGAATATACATATACATTAATCATATCATTGATTCATTGTTAAGTACTAAAAGTACAGTACTGTTTTATTTTTTATTGCGATATATATATATATATATGTATATACACATTAAGTAGAGTTCAATCATCAAATAAGAAAGCACCAAAAACTAAACAATATAAAAAGTTGAAATTATAACATCTATAAAAATGAGTTCCAAATTTCTATTTATAGAATCTATGGAGATTCTTAGTACTATACCACAATATTACACTTTGTTGAAAATATTTACAGTACTTTTATTCTTATGGTTCATTATCAAAAAACTATATCCTAGAGAAAATATAACAGAAGATGTATTAAACAAAAAGTTAGCAGAATGGAGACCAGAACCATTAGTACCTGAAGTAGATCCTAATCATCCATCTTTACATCCTTTAATAGTTACCTCCAGAGTTGGTAAAAATGTAGTAATTAATGGCAAAAAATGCCTTAATGTGGGAAGTCAAAATTATTTAGGCCTAACGGAAAGTAGGGAATTAGATTTAACGGCAATGTGGGCTGTAAAAAAATATGGAGTTGGATCCTGTGGTCCACGTGGTTTTTATGGTACCATTGATACTCATCTTGATTTGGAAGAAAGATTAGCTAAATTTACAGGAACCGAAGAAGCTATAGTATTTTCTTACGCATTCAGTACTGTTTCCACTGCCATACCTGCATATTGTAAAAAGAATGATCTAGTATACGTAGATAGTAAAATAAATTATGCCATACAAAAAGGATTAGATGCTTCTAGATCAACGATTATATATTTCAATCATAATGATGTTCAACATCTAGAAGAATTGTTATTAGAACAAGATAAAAAGGATAAACAAAATCCTAAAAAAGCTGCTAAAATCAAACGCTTCTTAATTATAGAAGGAATTTATGCATATACAGGACAAATTTGTCCTTTACCTGAATTAGTTGCATTACGTAAGAAATACAAATTAAGATTATTCATTGATGAATCTATATCAATTGGAACTCTTGGTGCTAATGGAAAAGGAGTCACTGAACATTTTGATGTTCCTAAAGACGAAATCGATATGATTATGGGTAAGCATTAATCTGTTGACTATTTTAAATGATTTTTGTTTTTCATATATATATATATATATATATATATACATTTTATACATTGGATATTTTGTTTATTGTTGATTTTGTAGGATCCTTTGAAACAGCTATGGGATCTGTTGGTGGATTTTGCGCTGGTACATCTTTTATTATAGAACATCAACGTTTAGGTGCTCTTGGATATTGTTTTTCAGCATCATTAGCACCACTTTTAACAAAGGCAACTATTACTGCTATAACTATTATGGAAAAATCTCCAAGAAATTTTGAACGGTTGAAAGAAAACTGTATAGTTGTTGATAACGCTCTTAAAGAAGTGCCGTATATTAAAACCACAAGCTCCGTGGAGTCTCCTTTAAAACATTTATATTTGAAAGAAGAGAAAAGTTACTTGGAGGAAGTCAAAATTCTTAATTCTATTTCTAAAAAGTGCATTGAAAATAAATTAGCTATTGTAAGGCCAATTTATCTGGAAAATGAATACAAACAACCAAGACCTAGTTTACGTCTGTGTGTTTCCGTATTATTAGATGACAGTGATATCGATTTCGCAATCTCTACATTAAAGAAATGTGTTAACGAAGTTTTTAAATAATAAGATTTAACACATATACAGAAAGAGAAAAATAGATATTTTAAAAACATATGTATATATGTATGTGTATGTATTCATTATAAATTGAGTTATGTATAATGTATTGTTTAATTTAATTAAAGAGCTTATAAATTAATTATTATATTATTTTACTTTCAATGTTTATTTTAAAATAACACGATACACACACATATATATATATGCTATTCATTGTGAGCGGAAGTGACTGCGCATGTGCGCGCGCATAGTTACATAGATGGCGTTACTTGCAACATTATTCGGAGATACGCGTGCATCTCATTCTTTCCGTGTTTGGTGCTTTCGGAGGTATGTTGCATCGACATTTTTTTTACCATTGCATCTTAATTGTTTAACAAAGTTTCAAGTATTTTCATTGTCTGATTGTTAATAATTAATTATATTAAATATTTTTTTTAGTTCGAAGTACATTTAAACCGCAAAAATGGTTGCTCAAAGAAAACAGGTATGTATATTCTTCTTTAACAACCACGTGTTCACATTTTTGTTTCATTATTATTTATTTTAATTATACAATTTATTAATGAATTTTTTTTTCTGTTAACATTTTTTTTGTTTAATAAAATACTCTTCTAATATTTGTAATAATTTTGTGATAAGTATAGAAATTAAATGATATTATGGAACAGCTTGTGTAGTTTTATACAAAGAGGTTAGGTTTAAAGATTTCTAATTTTTATTCGACTTAAAATAACATTAAATATTTAGTTTAAAAAAAAGAAATGAAGAAAAATATAACTTTTTTTTTTTAATATAAATATATTACTTGTTTTAACAGAAAAAGGACAAAGATAGTATTAACAATACGCTTGCCCTTGTTATGAAATCGGGCAAGTACGTATTGGGATACAAGCAAACTCTGAAATCTCTACGACAAGGCAAAGCTAAGCTCGTCATAATTGCAAACAATACTCCTCCTTTAAGGTGAGACTGAGATGTAGTACTCCTTAAAAAAAAAGAAAAAAAAAACATAACCTATAACCTGAAAGTTACAAATCTATCTATAGATAAGATATTTTATATAAAATTTGTCTAAATATTATTATATTAATAATAAAATATGAAATATATTTTTGTAACTTTCTTGTTTGGTTATATTAAAAATAATGAAGGAGAACTACGGAGTAGTCTCTAGTCCCTGTTTGTAAGTACAGTGGACAATGAAAATAAAAATCAATTCTGTAAAATAATAATCATTTCTATTATTAGGAAATCTGAGATCGAGTACTACGCTATGCTAGCAAAGACAGGTGTACATCACTACACTGGAAATAACATTGAATTGGGAACAGCATGTGGAAAGTATTTCCGTGTTTGTACTCTTTCGATAACAGATCCAGGAAATTCAGATATTATTAAAGCTGTACCTACTGGTGATCATGCATAAGAAATAAATTTTGTTTATTAAAATGAAAATAGAATTATTTCATTAAATCTATACTTTACATTTTTTCTATATATATATATTTTAACTTTAAAATATGAAAGATAGATTTAATCTTAAATAATATAAGACACAAATTATTTAAATATTCAAAATTACTTAATAACAATATATAAAGTGATATATTGAATCAAAAAAAAAAAAAAAAGAAAATAATTTATTTATTTGACTTTTTTTACTGCAACCTTTGTACCCAATATTTTCTTTCTCTGTGACAACATGTGCGAGTATAATATAAACGAACCTNAGAATTATTTCATTAAATCTATACTTTACATTTTTTCTATATATATATATTTTAACTTTAAAATATGAAAGATAGATTTAATCTTAAATAATATATGACACATATTATTTAAATATTAATAATTATTTAATAACAAAAAAAATAGTGATATATTATATCTAAAAAAAAAAAAAAGAATAATAATTTATTTATTTGACTTTTTTTACTGCAACCTTTGTACCCAATATTTTCTTTCTCTGTGACAACATGTGCGAGTATAATATAAACGAACCTACAATGTAAGAAAAAAAACATTTATTAATATTAAGAAAAAAGGTAATTAACATGACGATAATAATAATAATGCTTACCTGGAATATACGTTAAAACAATAATTATCAACAAGTACAAATAACTAAATGTAAAGTTCCATGGATTAGGTAATGCATAACTCCATAATTCAGGATGAGACATGGAATAAACAATTGCATAATAAATACACCAAAGTTCTCCGCTAATACCAGTGGGATAAAGTACCATAAATGTAGAATATCTATACAAATACAAATTATGTTATATAATTGTTATAAAAAAAAAAAATCACAATTAAATCAAATGAAATAAATATCAAAATGTATTTTTTTACCTCAGCCATGTTAGAAACTTTGGTACGCATGATATAATGTTCAATAGATAATATAAATATCTGAGAATTTCTGTAATACTCCATGATAGAACAGTGTATGGTAAACAAAGTGATGATTCAACGAATTCCCATGGTAATGAGAATAATACCAAGATAAGAAATGCACGACTTGAAACTTGTGCCAATGTTATAAATGCATTTGATGGAACAAAACCTATTATACAATGTATTACCTAAATGAACAAGAAAATATTTCTATTTTATATATAATCAATGAAATATATATTTACAAAATAATTGGATAATATTAATTCAATTTAAAATTAATTGTTTAGTTTATTTCAATACCTCCAAATAAGCAGAATATTGAATAAAGGTTAAAGGAAGCCAAATTTTATCCCAAAGACTTAACGTTGACGCATTATCCCCATAATGGGATATCAATATATAGAATACGTAAGACCAACTGTAAAATAAATCAAATGTTGTTAGTAAGAAAAATATATATAAAATTACATTTAATAAATATAATAATATTAATTATTGTTAAATGATATTATTGATACAAAATATCATTTAAAATTTGAATTAAACAATTGAATGTGTATTTGTCATCAATAGATAAAATAACAGTATACTATATATACGTATGTAAACCTAACCACAAATATAATAACTATTGTGAAAATTAATCAAATTTGTATATTTTTCATAATACATACATATATATATATGTTCAAACAAATTTAATATAATTTTAAAAATAATGCAAATAATATAAAAAAAAAAACAAAAAAAAATTACTTACCCGATAACCTCTATCGCATTATAAGCGATCAAATATAATTTTTTAAAAGGTAACATGATTTGACAATTCTTACTTCTTCAAAGTCCGTTCGTTAACTAAAGTTCATCACATAAAATAAGCATATATAATAAGAATCGTATACATATTTATAATAGTATATGTAATGACGGTGACTGTGTATATATGCGTGATTGCTTAATGTTTTTTAATTGACAAATTACAAAATTGTTTAGTTTAAGTATTGACACATCAAACATAATGTGATACAAAACAATGAATTTTCTTTCAACTTCCGTATTTTCTCTTTTATTTCGTTCTTTTTTTTTTTTTTTTTTT